ATTTCCAGCACACAGTCCAACTACGTCAGGACCCATCGATCGGCTCAGGAGCCAGTCTGCACCTTTAAAACATTGCCAAGGGGCAGGCTAAATTCTTGCTCTGTTTGAACTCCCGTATCTCTCGCTGCGGAAGGTAAGATTACGTATGTGTGTTGTTGTGTAGGCACCTGGAAAAAAAGATCTCAGTCTCACCCGTGACCTGTTGATGCTGTAATACCAAAAAAAAAAAAAAAATCAATGCAGTCAAATGGCTTAACAGTGGAAAATAGGAACTGTTCCCCAAAGTATCAGAGAGTATCCAAGGGCAGACAAAATGGCACTCAGCTTTAAAAAGACTCTCTGGGGATGTGCACCTAAAAAAAGAAAAGCGACAGCACTTTTTAATTTATTTTTTAAGACCAGCACAATTGGTCCTGCAGCCAGCTCTGTGCTCTCCAAGGCTCAGTGTTGTCTGAGGCAGCGTCTGCCCTCAAGCCCTCATTAGGATCTGCCTCAGCTTTGTTAGCACCAACGACAAGTTTTACCAATTCTAGGCAAAAGCAAGGACCTGCTTCCAGGGCACCTGTTAATAACGAGAGCAGGATTCTAATGGTCTTTGAAAACTGGGAGCCTGTTCAATAGCCAGGCCTAAAAATAAATCCGCTTGGCATGACCAGAGCAGAGAGGTGCTTGATTATAACTTTGGGGAATCGTGAGATAGCTGAGAGCAAAACTTTTAACCAGATGGTCGCCGTTCATTTCAAAAGCCTGTTGGAACAAAATATTCATTACCCCCTTCTAAATAAAACTGCAGCTGGTACTATAATGTATTCCCATTATGCAGGCATTCACGGTCAGGTCGGCAGTGGAAAAATACAGGCACACACACAACTTCATGGCATGGCTGGAGAAGGATGGGCTGACACTGCCTTTGATCCACCATAGCTGCCGGCTGCCTTTGAGGGGGACGTCCTCCCCGCTCCAGGGCTCCCCAAGTCTTGTTTCCTTCCCCACAATTAGAGAACTGACGGCTGCCTGGCTGTCTGCTTGAAAGGAATAATTATTTCAGGTTTGGGAATTTTTTTTTTCTCTCTGATGGGTGGTTTTCCTGCTGGATTGAGCCACTGAGCTGACTATGTCTTTGGGGGCAGGGATGGGCAGGGGCGAGGAGGTGTGGAAGAGACTGCAGGTGCCTGGAGTAACGCAGGATCCAACATAACATCCAACCCCAGCCTGTGCAGGCAGACCACACGCAAGACCTCCCTTCAGACACAGTGTTCCTCGTTACACCAGTACAACCCACCGCTGCGCACTGGGACCTCAGCGACAACACCGTCTGACTGTACAAGGAAGAAAATATCAGCAAGCCCTGCTTGGGAAAACTTTCTCGGGACACAAACAACATGAAAGAGCACGTGTCCTTGAATGTAAGCAAATTTATGTGATACATCCTCACTCCCCGGCACAGAGTCACCTTGGAGATGTGTCTTCATGGCTGAGTCAGTGTCAAAACAGCAGGGCTGGGCTCTGCGACTAGCGGCTGTGTTAAAGGATAACGCACTTGCCATCTGTTGGGGACACATCCCACTGCTTGCCTCTGTGGTCCCACCTGTCTGCAGCACCGCTCAGTATACCTACGTCTGCTCAAGCCACCCGAGAAACGCCCTGTGCGAAGCTGAGGGAGGCTGCTGGGTAGTGGGAGTGGGTGGCTCAGTGGGACAGGGCACAAGATATCCTAGTGACTGTCATCTGCAGGTTACCATGACCTGCTCAGTGACATAAAGGAATCTGGGAGGTCTCAGCCCATGGCTACTGCCCACTTTGCCCCTGGCAATGGGCTTAGCCTCGCTTCTGGACAGAGCAGGGAGAACCGAGGTGGGGGGCAAGTGCCCACCTTCAGCACAATGGGGGGACTGCGGGAAATCAGAGGGTTTGTGTTTTCACACCTGTTCTGCATCCGGACCAGTGTGTCGGGGGGTATTTAGTCCTTCCTTGCCATGGCTCAGGCTGCAGAGGGTGAACCTCTCGTCCATTCAAACATGTTTGATAGAAGTGAAACATCAGCAGGGCACAAACCAGCCTCGGCTCCTTAATAAGTGCACAGGGAATGGGCAGCCGGGTCCACACCCAGTAACAAGGGAATTCCTGCTTCCCATGCCCTCTGCCTTACCCCGCAGTGTGCCCCGGTGACAGGAGAGCTGGTGTGCCTGGATTTTCACGGCAGAGTCATGTCCCTACCAGGACCTCAGACACACATCTCTAAAGGCGTTATCCTGGGCCAGTACAAGCACCTTTTACCCCCACAGTACAGCTCTTGAACCAGGAAGAGAACGATTTAACCTGCACCACTGCAGAAGCCATCCTCCTTTTTACAACTCCGTGGAAATGGATTGTATTCCTGCCCCAGCACTGCCTGTACTTCCTGAGGCTGTCAGCAGCCAAACAGCACAGTTATCAGGAGCAATAACCCAGCGCACGTACAACACTCCTGCTCCCGGGTGTTAATGGTGGGGCAACGTACCCGGGCCGTGGGAGCATCTGAACTGCCCCAGTGACCCAAACACCGCCCAGGTACTGGCGTGACTCAGAGCAGAGATGCACTTGGGGCTGTGCCAGCTCCCTCTGACACTCTTCCCAGGAACTATTGCTGGAAGAAAAAGGGCAAAGGAGACCCTGGGAAACTGGAGAGCATCACTAGAGGAGTGACCCCATTGCCCTGCTCCCTGTCCAGGACACCCCACGGATGTTGAAGGCTGGAGAACATCACTAGAGGGGGATCCCATTGCCTCATTCCCTGTCCAGAGGATGCTCCGGGTGTGAAAGCCTTGTTAAAGGGGGGACCCCACAGCCCTGCTCC